TAATAATAGTCTTAATAGCCCGATTTAGAGGAAACTTAATAATAATAGTCCAAATAGCCCGGGAGTTATAGTGACAAAATAATATGGTGTGACAAAGTGGTCTTTATACTTTTCATCAAATTGAACGATCATTTAGATGCATAGAACTTCATGAACTCTGCTAGATTTGATAATATATATAATATTGACCTTTCAACTCTGTATAAACTTCTCTTAAGACACGGACAGGCGATGATCTAATTAAACATGTAATTAATCCCGTATGCCATTGACAATCTACATCTCTGTGTACAAGATCCACATGACTTCAAAGGAATATGCACTTGTCAGTAGGCATGCCGTGACGAGATAAAAAAGACAATTGCATGTACGACCATGTGTTCAAAGGTATATAATCAGGCGTTGGCTGACAGTTAGAAAGAGAGAGGAGCGAGGACGACTAGAGAGAGACCGAGAGACCGGCGTATGGACTCACCCGAGTTCAGCCGCTGCCTTGGCAGAGGGGCAGAATGGTGGACTTAATATTGTTAGATGTGTTCCTGACGTAGTAATAGTTCCAGTATAGTCAAGTCCTCGACGTAGTCTAGTTCCCGATGTAGTTAGTACCTCTATATAGTTTAAGTACCCGTATTGCTGCTGTAATGATGTAGATGTGTTATACATCTGATGTAAATAAATCCTTTATTTACTAAATTGATCTCTGTTATACTAAGATATAGTGTTACAATGGTCATCCCAAATTTGTAGTAGGTGTCCATTCGAGAAAAAATCAGTTGGTCAGATCGAGCACTGCCGGGGCATATAGTCCCCCTAGGGGACCAAAAGTTAGGTCATACGAAACATGGCTAAAAGGTATCCATAGCTGGAGTAAATATTTCAAAAATCTAACCAAAATATCCCGGGCTTTCCCCATGTCAGACCACACCCAATATGTCCTCACGGGGCTAATAATATGGTCATCATTAACAGAAACATACTTGGAAAATATAATTTTCAAAAATATAACGAAAAATTTGGGTGATTTTCCCAAGCCAGATCCGTCCTAAAACTGGGGCTAATAATATGGTCATCAGTTACATTGCTGAAACTTACCAGAATTAAAGATCTATACTTGGAAAATATAATTTTCAAAAATCTAACCAAAAATTGGGGGGCTTTCCCCAAGTCAGATCGCTCTAAAGTCTGTCCGACCACGCATAAAAATGGGGATTTTGTGATGTTATCAGTTACATGGCTGAAATTTAACATAAACATAGATCAGTGCATGGACAAAGTGATTTTCGAAAATCTAACCATAAATGTTGGGTCTTTCCTCAAGTCAGGGTGACCTTTATAACTTAGCCCCACCCCATTCCCTCTATATAAAGCTTATAATAAAGTAATATCAATGATACCTTTTTGAACAGTTTAGGGCTTTAAAAGTAGTTTATCTGATGTACGTAATGTTCGGCCAGGTGTATAAAGTTCTAAAAGATTTTAGAGGTAAACAGGAGCTAAATTATTTAAACATTTAAAAGTAAGTAATATAATCTTACAATCAATTCGATATTTAACAGGTAACCAGTGTAAATTATAATAAACAGGAGTTATGTGGTCACATTTCTTAGTTAAAGTAACAAGTCTAGCTGCAGTATTCTGTACTTTTTGTAATTTATCTGTAAGCTTTAAAGGTAAACCAACTACAAGTGAATTAAAGTTATCTAATCGGGAAGTGACCAGTGAATTAACAAGTGACTTAGTGGCATCTACACAGTTACACATTTACGTATTTTACCTAAATTTCTGATAATAAAATAGCACAATTATTTACTTGAGCTTCCATAAGCATAAAACTATCAAAGATTGCGCCAATATTACGAGCAGAATAAGATGAAAATATATCACAATTACCAATTACAACAGGGGGGTGATCATGTGCAAATTGATGCCTCGAGCCTAATAGTAAATATTCGGGGGCAATGTTTTATAGAATATCCACCAGGTACTAAAGCTGCGATTGTCGATGAATCCGAACAGTCATTATTCAGCCACGTTTCAGTTATTCCACAAATATCAATAGAATTTTCAACAATATAATCAGATAAAATTGTTGTTTTATTCCTTACGGATCTGGCATTAATTAATCCAAACGAAGTTGTTAAAACTGACGCTTCATTTTCGACCGCCTTTCTAATTTGTATAAGATTGTTGTTTATCTTCTGTTTTGTTCTAAAGTTTTTGATCTGTTTGTGATTTTTGATATAGAGTTTGAGGTGAGCTGGATGAGATTGCTATGATTAATGTTAATATTCAGTGAATTAGTGTTTAGAGGTTCATATGGTCTGTTGGTGGTGATAACTTTTAAATTAATTTGATTTCTCCCAATTACTTCATTAATATCAATGCTGTTGTCGTATATATAATCATTCAAAGCGGCTGTTTTATTTTCGACGGACCATGCATTAACACACAATTGTGTGTTATCTGGACGTTGATCGATTTGTTCAGAAATTATTGGAATAGTAACAAGATTGCCCCTGTTCACTGTTCTGTGTCTTTTTACTGTATCATTTCTAATGTTAAGTTTCAGCCATGTAGTTGATGACATCACAAAAATCCAAATATTTAGGGCGTGCCAACCTATAGCTACCCCCAAAAATTGATGGGGGTGGGCAAAGGCTTCTGGGGACGCCGATGGGGCTTCTGCGGGCGCCGATGTACCTACACTTGACGGTCCATGTCGAAGGGTCTAGCCTGCTCTCCACTCAGAAAATTTTGGTAAATAGGGTTTACACCAGAGAGGAACTATGTAAATGACGGAAAATTGCAATTTTGAGGCTGAATTTGCGATATTTGCGTATTATGATATTTTGAACATTATAAAAATTTGAAGGCAGGAATACGACCCGTTATAATTTATGAGAAAAAGTTCGGATTCGGGTTATGCGACTTGTTTCAATAATGAAGATTATCAAGCCTGGTGCGGGCTTAAATCAATATCAACCCCATTGTTAATTTGACCTAGAAAATTTCCTACAATCTCCAGTTTTATGGGAGATTGCTTCGGACGTCGGTTTCTTGGTTGGGCGCACAAGATCTCGTCGTGGGCGGCCCACCATTATGGGCGCCCTATTGGGATGAGGCACCACACCAATCACGCCGTTTTGGGCGCCGCACCCCATCTATCATGTTGTGGTGATAATCGTGTGATTCAGTATAAGGCAACTCACCATTTGGGGAGCACATATATAACGACATGATTGGCGAGGAGCCCATAAACCCAAGTGATATTGGTTGGGCATCTCGTCGTGGGTGCCCTACCAATGTCACTCGGCTTTATGGGGCGCCCATACTGATATGCGTACGTTGGTCGTTGCCTTCTTATTGCGTCAATTGGAAAGGGCGCCTTCAGCGCCCACTAGGGGCAGCTGCCCCCTTGCTCCCCCGCTAGCTATGGGCCTGGCGTGGTCGAACAGACTTTAGAGCGATCTGACATGGGGAAAGCCCCCAAATTTTTGGTTATAATTTTTGAAAATTATATTTTCCAAGTATATATCTTTGTTTCTGGTAAGTTTCAGCAATCTAACTGATGACCACATTATTCGCCCCATTTTTAGGGCTTTGTCGGGCAGACTTTAGAGCGATCTGCTTGGAGAAATCCCCCAAGTTTTGGTTAGATTTTTGAAAAGTATGGATCCTTGTTACTGTTAAGTCTCAGCCATGCATGTAACTGATGACCATATTATTAGCCCCGTGAGGAGATATTGGGTATGGTCTGACTTGGGGAAAACCCCGGAAATTTTGGTTAGATTTGTGAAATATTTACTCCAGCTGTGGAAACCTTTGCTTCTATATATATATATAGAAAGTTTTAGCCATATGTAATTTATGACCTAACTTTTGGTCCCCTGAGAGGTACTTTCAGGTGATTCTGTAGCTATATGCCCCAGCAGTTCTCGATCTAACCAATCCATTTTTACTCGTATGGACACTCACTACAAGTTGGGGGGGAGGGGCAAACCTTTTGTTATTAATGACCATTAATTCCTGGACTATTAGTTGAGTTCAATTTTGGTGCGCATTTTACGCAAAATGTGAAATATGAATGAAATTTGTGGACCTTCTAGAGGCGACAATTTTTGTCCGATTCATGAGATGAAACTAACACTATGTGTTAAAGGATTAAAAGTTCTTTGATGTGTTCGACTTTTGGTACGCATCAGACCTTACATTCCAGAGCTATCGCCCCTGCTTTTTTACGAAAAATGTGAATTATGTATGATTTTTGTGGGCTCGTCTTCCCATTCTGAGGAAATTTAACAAATATGTTAAGAATCAAAAGATCTTGAATGAGAAGATGAGCCCTACTGATTTTACTTCTTCCCCAAACATTTCTGGCCAAATGTGGATGTATCTTGCATGGCAACCACTTGTTTCAACTATTCATAACTGATAGCAGTGAATTATTTTATGGATAACGACCGCAAGGAAAGAGTGTGAGAAAAACTTTACCCCGTCGTTTTTTTTAATTACCCAATCTGTCATAGATACAACGCAAGTGAGATGAGGTTGAAATAAAGACTGACTGTTCATTTAACTGAGGGTCTCTCAACCCAGGGACCAGTATTTAGTAGGGTTTTCTTCTGAAAGTCTCAATGCTATGTTAAAATCAGGCGTCGTTATATATCTAACCGCATAATTACTTATGTGAAAAACCTAGAGAAAAGAGTACTTGCGGCCAGATTATTTTTTTTTTGGGGGGGGGGGGGGGCTTAAGCCCCGGTTGCCCCTCCTCAACTCCGCCGGCCTGATTAGTTTATAATCTTACCCCTCAATGAACTATATTTATTTGGACAATCAAAAGTTAGCCAATAGAATTGATTTCGACTTCATAGTTTTAGGGTTTTATCTAGATACACACTATTGAAACAAGATAGTGTAAAGTAGGTGCGAAACACTTTAACTGCCGGCCTACTGTAATGCTAATAGGGTCAGTGAATGGCCGGTCGTGTATTAAAGGTAGCAGTTATTGTCGGGAGACACAGAACATAACCAAGACAGCGCGTGGATTAAGTGGGAAAAAAGACAGTTAAATATAACCAGGATACTTTAATTTAAACAGTACAAGGATATGTGTTAAATATCTCTGCGCAAAATGCCTACCAATCCATCCAGTGCAGGTACTGCGATCAGTAACAAAATACGACCGAGTTCCGCTGCAGCAAATTTACAGTCTCACCCCACCTACAACACACTTTTATTTGACAATATTGGATGTCCATCGACGGCAGCAGTGCGCGGTACTGACCTTTCGTTGTTGTCTCCGAGACCTGCCACTCAAGCAAGTGGTCCAAGAAAATCATGGAAACTGCGGACAGCCAACGATGCCTCCAATCATACAGAAGAACATATCCGGCATCCTAGAAGACTCACCCTGGGCGCTGTTGATGGAATTGGCGAGAAGGATTCCATCGTTCGTCCAGGACTTATTCAAGGAACTGTAGCAGAAAAATTAAAATTTAAGGTAAATTGCTTAAGATCTATTCCGGTATATAGCTTTGTATTAAATGTAATAAAATATAAAGACGACCAATTAGGTGAGTGTGTATAGGCTAGGTTATTTTAATTTAGAACATTGTAATCTGAATATTGAACTAAGCTTATTCACTGTGCGAGATAAATATTACTGAATATTTATTTTAACTTTAGTGAACAAAGAACTTCATTGAAAACTTGTTTAGTGAAGACGACAGCTCTTCGACACAAGAGTTCATTATGGCGGATTGTTGTAGCAACGTACCATGACTTCGTCGTTTGTCAGAGTGATTGGTTATTGTTGCGTGTTAAATGTCATACAATTTACCACGAAGATATGAAATCAATATTGTGCAGTTGGTCAAATAATCACTTGACTGTGATTGAGCTTGATTTTTAGCTTGATTTTACTAACTAAGATAGTGCATTGATGTAATAGAAGCCTATAGACAATAACATACACATAATGAAATTGGCACATGGCGTAATTGTCAAATAAATCAACTATTTCAGGCTTTCTTCATGAAAATAAGACAATTTGGATAGTTTCTAGATTAGAAAATGATAACAACAGTGCACTTTCATTAAAACAATTCTGAATTGTGGCCAACCAACTCCTAGTCTGTAACCCCCCGTTACAAAGTACAAAGTTCCCACGATTTTAGTAAAAGTCAATTAAATTGTTGATATTGGTCATTCTAAGTAATATGTCTCATTAGATAGGAAAACCAATATTAAATTAAAATATGAATTATATTCATCAATCCATATATTTTTGACAATCCATGATTATGGTCTTGTTTTGTTAATAAATGTCTAATTAATAGTTTATATAACATTTCAGGCCTAAAAAAGACCTGCAATAGGCAGATTTAGCGCTTGTATTAAATAAGCTCTACAAACATAAAACAGTCATCCAGGACGGACTGGTCAATGGGGACTATGCTATTCTTCAAACAATCATAACTTTGCTCAGAATGAAGTAATTTTACTGAACTTTTCAATATATTCCTTTTTCATATTATCTACATGTATTTTTAAACTTTGATAGCAAGAAAGACCAGATCTTTATTTAAATCTTACAATTCTGCTTTTAGAGAGAGAGATGGGTTCATTTTGCGACTAACCTATGTGTTACATAATCACAGATTATCTGATGTTATAGACGCTTCCTGCCAACTTGACACCTGTTCGCTATCGACATCCCTGGAGTTCTTAGTCTATGTGATTATGTAACTTGCTGGCATGTTTTATTTAAACTTTCTGTGTCTGATTAGCATGTATCGAATGTTAAACCTGATATGATACATGATACATTAGCCAGATGCCTAATAAGATCCTTTGTTTGGAAGGGTTTATAAACCCAGATTAACAAACGAAGAGAGAGAGAGGTCCGGACAGGACACGAGAGCAGAGGCCATGGGCGCTTGGCACAGATGAGACGGAATGAGGGAGAGTGTATTGGAGTTGGCACACTCATGCCTAGCCAAGCTAGGATATGGCTCCCTCAATACAGTTAGTTATGGAGTCTTTAAGTTTTGTACATAATATGTTAGAAGAAGAATAAAGATATTATGAGATGTTAAACTGTTAAAGAACCAATACTGTCACATATGGTACAATTTTATTTCAATAATTCGCTTTCGCGTAGGAGTCATTAGCAGTGGGAGGAAGATGGATGACCCGGAGAAAACATACGAGGTTGGACAGGTTTGGAAATAAGGCTTCAGCTTCTTCAGCAGCTTTCTTCAAGGCTATCTGATGGCAGGGGCTGGTTTATCTGCACACGTTAAGACAGTTTTTACATAAAAATCTGGAAGTTTTTCCACAAAACCCCCCCATAAAACAGCGTACATGCTGATCAGCTTCCAGAATTAAGACTCTTGTGATACATAAGGTAATGTCTGCACAAATAACGACTATGTGTTGTCAGAATCTTAAAATTACCCCGAATAAATTATTTGATAAACCAGGGCCTTTGATCCAGTATTCATTTAAACAGTGGCCTTGGTAATTTGCGGATGAGTTGATTTCCATTCCATTCAATAATTCTGTATTCTTCAAGTTTAACTGGACTAGATTGACTGGGTTTACAATTACAGGTATTTCTAGTAACTCCCATAGATTCAGTGTACCAAAATGTCGGAACTGACATTGTTACTTGGCAAATGTTTGGTTTTCATGGATAGAATTATCAGACTTTATAGCACCAAATATTACTCAGCCAAATGTCTTTTAGTAGTCTTTAATATTTTAAGAATTCTTTGCATGTTATCTAACCATGCTTCAGCGACATAAAATTCATTATCATCATCTAACATTTGTGTGTAATCAGTATGTTTTTCAACAAGACTATCAAACGCTGTGTCATTTTTCGAAACAGTTTCAGTAAATTCTTCTTTGTCGTGATGTTCATTAAGTAATCTATCAAGCATTGTTCCTTGTCTAGTAATAGCAGCTTTACCATTTATTCTCTTCTTCTTTGATTCCAAGACTGAACCTTTTACTCCCTCGGATTCAGACATATTTATTCATACATTCAATTAAAGAGTAATTTGGTTCAATTAATAAATACAACAAAATTCCTACTCACAGGTTAGCAGAATTAATCATTTAAGGAAATGAAATGGGGTTTAACGTCCTACTGTTCTGCTCCGACTGGGCTAATGAAGACAGAGACTGGTTAACAGTATTACAGGTTAACAGATTCACTTTCATAACAGGATTCATTTACCAGACAGAGTTACGAAGGCCCATTAGTGCCAAACCAAGAAAAAAAATATTGATCTGTTTGAACAAGTTACCAAGTATCTCGTTTGAACAAATTACTATCTAACTCGTTCAAATGAGATAATTAATTTGTTCAAAAAAGATAATTAATTCGTTCAAACTAGACAATTAATTCGTTGAAACAAGGTGCTAATGTGTTCAAATGTACAGAAGCATGGTAGGGACATAAAATGAGATATATTATGAAAATGGCCAGGAAAACAAACATGGCAGGCAAAACAAGGAACAAATTAATCTGTTTGTATTTTAGCATCGGAATGACCTATAGACATTGTTGAAACTTTTGCTTAGAGACGCAGACCCATTATTAGTGAAATGCATTTAAAAAGCATGTTCAGATGTTTACAACTAGGTCGTAGACGTTACAGTTAATTGGGCGAACTCATTAACTTTATCAAGGAATCAAGTAGACAACTTGGATATAAAATGTTGTGCACAAAATGCTTAGAAATTGGGTTAACTGTAACACAAGACAATTTGGGTTGGTTTTATTTAAACTGGATTCAGAGTTGGTTCTCATACAAAAATCTAGAAGGCTATACTACGGTAAAGGACCTATATAATAACCATCCCTAAGACATTTAGATGGGGTAAGCTGACATCCTTTGCCAGCATCTTTTCAGAGGAAATGTTACCGATGCTTTTGTAGAAAGATGTTATTTACATTGAAAGAGCATATCAAATCAAAGAATAGGGTGTAGCTGCATTCAATAATGGGTTGATTTGTTCTGAGGTTTAGTTGATAATGGTGATTTTGGCGGATATTCTTTGGATTAGAATCTGGTTCAATTTTGTTTTAAGTCTAGGGGAGAGCGGGGATGGTTCGGACGGTGGGATGGTCCGGACACCCCCCATAGCTTTAATCTTTACAATGCTATATGTTTTCTGATTGGTTATTATAATACTAAAGATCTCATCTTGTAACATGAAAAACACATGGCAGAGATAAACATTCAAATGTAGATGCAGATAAGCTTTTTTCTATTTTTGACAAAGTTGATGTAAAAAATTTCTAAAGTTAAATGCATAAATTAATTTGGTGTTTAACAAGTTTCTATTAGGGGTAGGCTGTCACCTCTTTCTTCCTTTGCTAATTAATAGAAATAGATTGAAAATTTATCATATTTTCATTGTAAATAAACATAATGGCAGCTTATATCAGAATTATGGGTTTGGGGTACATCCGGACACTGTCCGGAATTACCCCACATGTGTTCGGATCAAACTGTTCAGTATTTCCAAGAGTCAGATTTGATAAAAAAAAAAAAAAGAATGATGACTGGCAGGGGTCTAATAAGTTTACTGAAATTATGGGTACTGCTTTCCGTCCATTAAATCAAATTCTGTCAATTCTTCCGAAACCCTTATCAAATAGCAACAAGGGGATGATTTATTACTACAAATTTGGTACGTCATTTGCTGGAATAAACATTTGTTAGCTGTTTCGATGTAAATTATGGATTGATGTCATACCTAGAGAATAGCAAGAAGATTTAAAACTTTAGAATTATCAGTTAATTCCTTTTTGAATCCCTTTCATTTTTTTTTTGTCCAGCTATGTTAAAAATATGTCTCAGTTAGATGACATTCAGCTTTAAATGAATCACTACTGTGTTAACTTTATTGCTAACGGAACTTTTTGAAGAAATAGAACTAAACTGTGAAAGAAATCTTTTCAATTTGCTTTTGTCCAATCCTCCTCCATTTGTCAAAAGTATTCCCCCAGGGGTGACCGGTGTCTCCCTGCTAATGGGGTAAATCCGGACATTTTACTAACCCCCCAAAAAATTGTCCAACACAAAGACTTTCATAGCTACACAGCTGTATCACTGATTGAATATAGCCAATAAGGTAAAGTCTATTTTCCTTTCTTAAGTTCGGAGACAAGTGCATTATTAGTTGCAAAAATGTGAAACCAGTGGCTGCCAGGCAGGATACTCCCACATTTTCGAGAGATGGATAGAGAACAAGCTAAAAAGAAAGCGATTTTTCGTACAATCAGGGGCCATAATTCAGGAAGTTACGGTCCGATATGCACGAATATCGACAGGAACCGAGATCTTTGGATTATAAACTTACATTTCAAGTTTCAACAAAATCGGATAAAAATTGTGACCTCTATAGGGTCCACAACCTTGATATACCATATTTTTACGCTATTTGAGAACAAATGGCGGCCATTTTGTCTGCCGTTTTTCA